AGTACCATCTCAAGTGTGATAAGCATATTCTTTTTTTAATGTCTGTTTGATTTTTCTTTTCTTTACTATATCTATTTGAACAATGCCGTCCTCAAGTGTGATAAGCACCATCCTCAAATGTGATATTTATCCTTAAAAAAATATATCTATTTAATTTAACAGATATCATTTGAACACAAAAATATTGTAGTTATTAATGCAGAGAGCGGATCTGTATTTTCAGATTGTCCTTCAGTCAGTATTTTCTTCGATTCCCTTTCCCCTATCTGCTTTATTTCTTTTTTCCTTTACTGAGTTTTGGCTCTGGATCTTGCAGCCGGTAGAGATGCCCTGAATGTGAGAGGAAGACAAAACAATGAAATAAACTTTTTTAACAGATGCAAAAAATGCTAGTACCGATTGTCCGTCCTGAAATTAATAGTATAAACAATATAACTTAAGAACCCATAAGTCTCCCCTGCTCTACTGGGGATGACCCTTGCATGAAATGCAAAGCATCTGACACTGGGGATCTTACCTAATCCTTAGATCTGGGGTTGGTTTTGGGGGGGGGGTGTCTTGATCCTTATTTTTTGTATTTAACACCCAAATCGCGAAATGTTGATCTTGTCAAGCACTATTTTGAAATCCTGAATTGGATGAGTAAGAAAGTTGTTTAGGTTGGTATTTTTTTCCCAACTTCTAGCTAATGAACTTTCATAAGTTGAAAAAATCTATTACTTGCAAACTAAGTGATGTACTTCCCATTAGTCTCTGGAAAAGTTGTCAAGTTGATTGTTCCTTACAGATATCACATATGCTTTCTGCCCTTTCATATTTCGTTGCCAATTTTTCTGATTGTTGCAGCTTTATGTGCTCATTACTTTGCCCTTTAGATTGTTAAATATTAATTTCACATGTTTATGCTCTGCTATCAAGTGGTCAGACAATTCAATGCACATCTAAATCTTGCTTTGGATGAGGTATACATGTAAATCGTATTTACATATGTCTTGATCTTTGTCTCTCATAGACTGCTTGGAGTAGAAGGATGCTAACTTTATTGTAAATTGGGCATTTTTCCTGTTGTTTTTTATCCCTTTTCCTTACTGTAATTCTAAGTATTACCAACTTTTGTAAGAAGGAAGATAAATTTTTGTTCATAACTTCCATATAGGCCAACACAGCTATGGTTTATTTTCTTTGTTTTTAGAAGAATGATATGGTTTATTTGGGAGTATGGTTGTGTCTCCAATGAAAATGACTATACGTATAAGAAATGTAACTGTTCCAAGTTGATTGGTGGCTTTGTAGTGAGTTAATTACTTGCATGATTTGTTCTATTATCTGGATTCTTTTTTCCTTTTACCTGATCAGCCTACCTTAAAGCTGGCTTTTGGTGAAGAAGAGCTACGGAGTTTGTATAACTAGTGAACTCACTAATTCATACAATTATTCTTTAGAGAAAAAACCCATACAATTTTAAGCTGGTGTGACTTAAAGCTGTATCAGCTCGAAAGGATTCCCTCCGAAACAGTCTTTTTAATTTCTTGGCTTCTGTTTTTCATTAAAAAATAGTCTTTATCTACCTGTCATTTTTAGATACTTAAGAATTCGAAATACTGCCTCTATAAATTCTTCAGTTGGGTTATGCATGAATTGACTTATTACACTGATGGCAAAACTGATATTTGGTCTGGTATGCGAGAGGTAAATCAATTGACTCATTAGATGTTGATATTTTTCTTTGTCAACTAGAGCACTATCATTTTACTTTCCAGTTTAATGTTGGGATCCATGCGCATGTCTGCGACATTGCATCCAAGTATTACAATCCCTTTTAAAAGATCCAACGCATGCTTTTGCTAAGACACTGAGATTCCTTTTTTTGACTTAGCAATTTTGATTTCCAAAAAATATTTGAGATTTTTTAGGTTTCTAATATCAAATTCATTAGTTAAGACTTTTTTTAGTTTGAGTATTTCCTCTGTGTCATTCCCTTTAATTATTATATTATCTATATGTATAATGAAAATTGTTCTTTTTTTTGAAGGATCATGCTTGACAATATAATATAATTTATTTGATATTAATTATATTCAAACCTCCTGATTGATTAAGTGAATTTATCGAACCATTGCTCTTGAAAATTGTTTGAGTCTATATCAGGACTTTTTAAGTATGTGGATTTTTCTGTTAGTGATTTGACTTTCAAAGCCTAGTACTCATATAGACTTCTTTCTCCAGTTCTCTATTAAAGAAAATATTGTTCACATCTAGCTGGAATAGTGGCCAATCTAAATTGATAACTAGAGAGTATCTGGACTGTGTTAAGCTTTTCTACTAGTGTAAATTTCTTTTGATAATCTATCATTCTTTTTCGGTTATCTCATTTTGTTATGGGGGTATCAATACATAAACTTTTATGAACAGTCCCTCTTTTTCAAGATGCATATCCAATTCTTTTTCAAAGTATTTTTTTTGTTTGTCTTCAACACTTGTATTTTTGTTTGGAATTAAGTTTGGACCATGTTGTTGATTTTTCTAAATATATGACCAACTTCTGATTTTTCTTTCATGAGGAATAGCCATGTAATTCTTTTATGATTATCTACAAACTAATACCAATAATATTGTTGATGCTAGACGGTCCTTAGTCATCATTATGTACCATAACAAATGATTTAGAGGTTTTATAGGACATGTGGAATATATAGTATAAGTATGTTTTGACAACTGACATACTTTATAATGAAATTTTTTGAATTGTTATTTATGAATAAAGGAGACAATTTTTGAAGGTATACAAATTTCAGATGTTTCAATCGATAATATTATAATCTAATTATACTAAGATCGTCTAAGTAAGTTGGACTATCTTGAGACTTAACATATATTGCATTTTTTTTTAAAATAAAATTGTAGTGTAGTATAAATATTAACATAGGTACCAAGGGGGTACTACTCTTATACAAAAATAATTACATGTCAATTATATTGTCAATGGCATTAGCAAAATCATCAAACCCATTGATGGCATGACCCAAAATTAAAGTGGCAAAAGTGTGAATTCATCTATGTATAATGTTAATAAAATCCCAATCAATCCCATTAAAAGTTCTCGCATTCCTTTCTTTCCACACGACTCAAAAAATAGATAACAGAATTAAGAGAAGATCCAACACATCTATAAATATTATTTTATTTTGACTTGCTGTCTTTTTCTTGTTCAAATGTGTGAACAAGAAAAATCATCAAACCCATTGATGGCATTAGCAAAATCATCAAACCCATTGATGGCATGACCCAAAATTAAAGTGGCAAAAGTGTGAATTCATCTATGTATAATGTTAATAAAATCCCAATCAATTCCATTGAAAGTTCTCGCATTCCTTTCTTTCCACACTACTCAAAAAATAGATAACAGAATTAAGAGAAGATCCAACACATCTATAAATATTATTTTATTTTGACTTGCTGTCTTTTTCTTATTCAAATGTTAAAATGTTTAGAATCCATGAGGGAATCTAGTTAGAATTAGAAAAAGCATCAAAAGACAAATTTGTGACTATTGTATTTTCCATAGTTTATTTTATTTAATTGTTACACTTCTTAGTTGGAACAAGGTTTCAGTTAGACTGACGACATGGCTTTTATTGATACCGGTAACTGATTGATGGGCACTTGTTTGGTTCCTTTTGACTTATCTTTTTAGGTCATGGGAAAAAGGTTTTCTTTCTTTTCAAGGAAGTTGGCACAATTAATATTGTTTGAATTATAGATATGTAGGCACAGTTAACTTCTTTGTGTCATTTTCTTGTTCAAGTGCTAAATGGTATTTCACAACAATAACCTAGAAGAATCTCGTTGGAATTGAAAAGAAAAGGCATTAGAATAGCAAATTGTGACCACCATATTTCCTATAGTTATTTTCTGGAAATGTAACACTTCTAAGTTGGACCTGGACCAAGATTGCATATAGGCTGAGGACACGGCTTTGACTACTTCAAAGAGTAAAGTTGGTTTCTGAGGTGTGAATTTTTTTGTCAGCCGCTGAGAAAATATCTTGGTTGGTAGCAAGCCAGCTGAATTATGAGATTGTTGTTTATGTATTTCTATTTTCCCAGTAACTTATAACTGATTTCTGTGATAAGGGTTGCACTGCTCTTTTTGACCTTGAAGTGATCAATGGGTTGCTGTTATTGGACTAACATTTTGATGAACTTAATTGTATTTCTAGATCTGCTAGTATGATCTGGAGGAAAAGAATTGAATATTAGTGATAATAATAAGGACAGGAATTTAAGGCACGTCCTAGTTTAGTAGTTTGTGGTTGCTATTGCTCTCTCTTTCTCTCTCTGTGTGTCTCTTTCTCTCTCTATTTCAATGATTGCACTGAGGTTTCCAGGTTTGTTAAATATTATTAAGGTTGAAGAATTTCTTCTGGAACTTCCTTAATCTTGATTGAAAAAGTAACTGGAGAAGAGTAGTTTGTGATTATAAGAAGTGCAGGAACTTAAGGCATGTCCTAGTTTAGTAGTTTGTGGTTGCTCTTGCTCTTGCTCTCTCTTTCTCTCTCTGTATCTCTCTTTCTCTCTCTATTTCATTGATTGCACTGAGGTTTCCAGGTTTGTTAAATATTAAGGTTGAGGAATTTCTTCTGGAATTTCCTTAATCTTGATTGATAAAGTAGAAAATGGAGATAAGTTCCTTTCATCAAGTCTAGACTTTTGGATTATCTTGTTGTGACTTGACATTAACTTGATGTTCTTCTCAAAAGAACATTCACTTGATTCTTTGAAATTTATTTTTACTGAATTAAGAAGAAAATGGGGGAAAGAAAAAAAAAAAAGAAAACTTTATGGCCTCTGAAGGGGATTAGAAGGGTAATCTGGTTTGTCTGTGTAGCAGATATTATTTTTCCTCATTGAGTCATTAACAATTCATGCATTCGTCAACTAATATCTTGCTGTAAAGACCAACTAATCTCATTCTCTTTCCTCTCTTCTCTCTCTCCCCTAAGCAGAGGCTTAGTGATTTGTCTTGTATATTGATTATCTTGTTGTGACTTGACATTAACTTGATGTTCTTCTCAAAAGAACATTCACTTGATTCTTTGAAATTTATTTTTACTGAATTAAGAAGAAAATGGGGGAAAGAAAAAAAAAAAAAAGAAAACTTTATGGCCTCTGAAGGGGATTAGAAGGGTAATCTGGTTTGTCTGTGTAGCAGATATTATTTTTCCTCATTGAGTCATTAACAACTCATGCATTCGTCAACTAATATCTTGCTGTAAAGACCAACTAATCTCATTCTCTTTCCTCTCTTCTCTCTCTCCCCTAAGCAGAGGCTTAGTGATTTGTCTTGTATATTGATTTATCATTCCTTTTGTAAGGAGAATCAATACTGAAATAAGGTGGTGATTAGACATCCTATTGTTACAGGCGGCAAGATTTATCATTGCTTTCTTAAGGAGAATCAATACTGAAATAAGGTGGCGATTAGACATCCTATTGTTACAGGCTGCGATAAATCACTGATCATGCGATGCCACCATCTGTTGTTTTTCAGTTTGGATGTACACGCTGAGGAATAACTTCAGAGTTCTCGGTGGTCAAAAAACTGCTGCAAAATGCTGAGGTAAATACTTGATATAAATTCTTGAACCAACGAATTGTTATACTTCTCAAAGTTGTTAGAAAAAATTTTCATGCAAATAATACTCTTAACCAAGTAAAAATAGTTCCAAAAATGTTCTATAGTTTTTCTTTTGATTTACCAGTTACTAATACATAACTTTGTGAATATAGTTATTTACTCATTCATAATAAGATCCGGCAGTTGAGTCAGTCTCTTCTATCTACATGCTTATAATTGCATTCTGATTCACATTGCGTAGGGGGAATTTGGTTTTTTTTTTTTTTGTTTGTTTGTTTGTTTGTTTGTTCTTTCTTGGTTTTTCCTCTTTGGGTGGCATCTTCCATCTTTAGTTATAGGACAGTTCTTTCTTTCTCCTTTCAGTAACAGTTTTGCACGATTGAGAAATTATGTGAAAAATTGCCTTAGCACTGTGTGGTGGTATCTGGATGGTTACCTCCCAATGGTTTATAAAATAGGGCAGGAAGGTCACAGATTTCATGGCTTGGAGTTGGAGAGCTGCATTGCAGCTCTGCACCATGATGGTGGTAGATTTATGATGGATGGATGCTATTTGATGTTTCTGATGGATGGCATGGTTGCTTGGCCATCCTGCTGGAAAGAATCTGGAGAACCATACACACATCTATGATTTTGCCATTCTTCTGTCTTATTTTGAAGTTTAACATGGGAATTAGAACCTAGCACACCCTGTTTGCATTTTTGTGCTCAAATAACCTTTGGTATCCCGCTGTTGGGCATGTTTTAAATTATCCTAGAAAGAAGCATCTTTTTGGTCGAATAGATAAAAATTGCATACGCAGCAAGGTGTGAGGCACTTTAGACCTTGGTGTCTTAAAACTGAAGAAAACATGATGATGGAACAGCCATTCTCAGTGCAATTGTAAGTTTTCACTTACATTAATTTAGGATTTAGGACACTGCTGCCTAGGAATACTTTGTTACATGGGTCGTTCTGGATGCTAATGCTTTCTCTGTCCTTGCGCATGTAACGTTAATTATGGCCTTTTTATTTTTGCACTTTTGTCTTAGTGAGACCGAGGTGAGCAAAAAGTAAAAAGTTTGAAGAACGAAACCCAAAACTAAAAAAGTTGAAGAAGAAACAAACCCAAAAAAGAAAAAACTAATAAATAAATAAAATTAGTGGAATTCAATTGTAAACTAGGAGAAAATCTAGAATTATTAATTTTATATTTAGAATGAAAAAAATGTAATTAAAATTTTAACACTTTTGGTAATATATTGATTGAGTGCAACATAGAAAGAAATTCATGTGAGTTTAGTTTTTAATTTTTTTCAATAAGAAAAGATGCATTAAATACGTAGCATGTTGTTAGGAGGAGTTAAAATGTAAAATTCAAATGTAGAAGGGGTTTAGTTAGCTTCTTCTTTAAAGTTATATTTCAACTTTTATACGAGCATAAAATATTTTAATTAATTTTTTTTTGGCTTTTTAAATGATAAATAAAAAAAAAAAAAAGATAGAGAATATGTAAAATATTTATATTTTTATTTGTATTTTACCCCTTTTAGTTTGAATGCTTTTGTTAACTCTAAATTTTTATGTATTGCTTATATTTTAGTTTGTAGGAGAATAATAATAAGTTAACAGTGATAAATGCTATTAGTATTTTCCAGTCACAAATATTTATATATATATATATATATATATATGTGTAGAATGTCTTGTAAGGAATAAAATTTAGCTGAACTGGTTTTTTTAACCGGTTATGGTTGTGAAATTAAAGTGGAAATTGACCCTGGAAGAACGTACGTTGTAATTTAAATTTAGTGGACTTTTCTATGTTGTTCATGATTTTCTCAATACCTCTCTTCCCCTGTACTTCGTTTAAAAATTTGAAAAAAATAAATAAATAAATTATTTGTAAAAATTCTCTATAAAATAATGAAATAATTTTTTACATCAATTTTTATGTGAATAAAAATAATACATTTTAAATTCTATCAAAATATTTCATAGGGGATTAATCTAAAACTAGTATCATCTTCTAAAAATGGAGGTAAAATTTTTGTAATTATTCCAAATGTATGGCATTTAATATTATTATGTGTTTACATGTTGGCTCATAATTAAATGTTAAATTTATTTTGGTAGGAAATGAATATCTACAAATCCAACTGGTCAAATTATTAATAAATAATTTTTACATTTATAACTAAAAAAAAAAAAAAAAATTGAATAAATATGCCGAGTAACTGAACCAGTTGAAAGAAGACAGAAAGTACACGATGAACTGAATGGCCTATCAAAATATCTTCTTTTTTTTTTTTTTTTTTTTCTTTCACAAAAGAAATTGTTTAATGTTCAGAAAAATGACTGGAAATCAATTGCTGATGATTTCTACTGTGTGGTTCCCATATAAAAAAGGGGGTCAACCTGAATTCCATAAAGGTGCAAACTTACATTGTATCATCAAATGTCCCCGTATCTGTGTGTATATCTATATCTATATATATGCACTTTCCAAGCAAGAGATCTCATAAAGGTGTAAACTTTCCATTAAAATGGCACGAACCCGGTATATCCAAACAGACTCCCTGTTCCCTAATTAACACTGTTACGAATGAACCATGAATGATGACGACCACTCCTGCATACATACATACATACATACATACATCTTATATAATCCTGTGTGTACCTCCAGAAGGCTCTCAGTTCTTCGTCTAAAACTAAGGTGGGTCCAGCAGTTCCTCAGAGTTGAAAAATTAAAGGGGAAAAAAACAACAATAAATTATTTAAGTCGGATATAAACATCTTTTTCATTTTGACTAAGTTTGTATCATTTGATTTCTTTCTTTCTTGTCTTCTATGCTATCTATTTACCTTTCTCATCATGTGACAAATTGCATGCCTGCAATGTGGATCAAAAATAGAATATTATTAGTATGATGGCACCAACCTCAACTAATCAAGCGCAGCTTTGTTTCTCCGCCCAGTTAATGGCTTTGGTAATCCATCAAAAATTGGTCTTGTTATGGCTCCACTTGACATGCACGGCAAATCAGGCTTCGAACTCCTCTTTACCGTTGACCGGTTGTTACTGTCCTGATCTTGTAAACTCGAGGTGCTTGATGACTTCCTCACTCCAAAAAATCCATCAACCACAAGAGAATCAATCAGGTTTGTTGGTATAACATTCGAACCACTAGCTGCTTCAGAATCTGCGGCCAAACTAATTCGGCTTGCTGCTTTAGATCGCAGCGCTAGACCTTTTCCAGTTATTGCTGAAAAGCCACTCCCGCCACTGTTATCCTCCAACAGCATTTCTGGGGTGTGGGAAGTAAAGTCAGCCTCAGATTTCTGACGCCTTCTTACCAGTTTTTCTTTCCATTTGTCAGAGTTGCATTCCCCAGCCTCTGCAACGTGCATGGTGTCAGTGAAGTCAGTAAATTCACCGTTCTCGTCAAGACCATTTGCTAAGCTTCTTGACTTTCGGTGGAGGCTTAAAGGAGGGTTACATGATGGCAAGGGCACAAGGAATGGGCTATCTTCCAGACAATGAGCCCTTCCTTTCTTTTGAAATGCCATTTCAGAACCTTCAAAAGGGGTCTTCTGATCTGATGGTTTAAGCTTATAGTATCCTTGTAAAGAGCTCATGGCAAGGGAAACCTTCCGCTGCGAAGAACTCAGTTTTAGAGACTGGAATGAGTCAAAGATATCAAAGTGCTGGTGCGGTGAGGTCTGGCCAGAATTGCTGTGTACGCAAAAATATTTCAGTTTTTGGAAACTGTATTAGTCTCGTGAGATAATAACCAGGGGAGGGAACTACTACAGAACAGATAAAGAAGCCAACATCAGATATTATTAGCAAGTCTAAAACGAGCCCAAATACATTTACTACTTTGAAAGGATTCCACAGCATCAAAATAAGATCAAGCCTTATTATTATATGATTTGAATCAAATCATGAATTTTACGTATTAAATATTTGATTACATACAATTTTCATGCGTGTCAACAATTTACAATATACAATTGTATTGGCTTCTTGCAATAAGGAAGAAAAATGCAACAATGACGAAATGTTGACATGAATTGTTGCACCAATTTGTACATGATTTTGTCTAAAAACCTTGTCCATCTACTTTTACTTGTCAATATGTCATCGAACGAACCTATTTCCTGCAGCTCAAAGAACTATCCAATTTCACTATGATCTATAAAAAAAAGGTGGAAGTCAAAACGTATAACTATTCCCAAATCCATGATTTTAATGACCTAATGACGAGAAGGAAACGAATAGCACTATACTTCATATAAATTGTAAAAGCAAGTGAGACACAGAACAAGAATGACTTCATTCTTCTGTAACTTACACAAATAGAAGCAAAACTACAGGCATGTCTTATTCATTTTAAGCTGCAGGAAAATAAAGTCACAAGGAGAGACTACTATCACGTAAAGAAGCTCAAATAACATTCCACAAAACTAGGAAGGAAAAGGATTCTCCATCTTCCATGACAGTGTATGTTAGAAGTACTACAATGAAGACAGAAGGATTATATAAATACCCTGCTGCAGAGGAACCATTTGATAAACAAGGAGAGGGAAGGTGTCTCCCTGGTAATGGAATCTGGAGTGACTTGAGAGCAAACATCTGCAGATCTGTAACAAGGCCGTTCATCTTTTTTATGTCGGCAACCTACACATAGGGAATATTCAATTGCAACCACAGGCAAAGATTGGAAGAGGATACAGAAAAAGTTAATTTCTAGGTGAAAACAAAATGAAGAGAAAGCAAATATCCAAACCCAGGGAGTAAATTAAACACCCAAAAGAGTTGGGAGTCATTTAGTTTCTCTAATTACAGGTCAATACATGCTGGAATTCACATGCGCTGATGGGGAAAGATATGCAAAGTTCATCGAATAAACTTTTACATCTCATACAAATCAAAACCCAAGCCTTCTATCAACATCACACAATTATTTTCTCTTCAAATAGTTCTTGTTTTTTCTTTATCCTTCATTTTGGGAAGATTTTGAAAGCACTTGTTTCTTCTAATAAATTGAATGCAACCCATGAAAAGAATGTATTCCTAAACTCCAAAACAACACAAACCATCAATTCCTAAATGAAACAACCATAGTTTACCATTGATAGTTCACAATTCACACGTACCAATTCGAATGAATAATTGTCAACAAGTCAATGCTATACAGGAACGTAATATCCGATTCTAGAAGAATTATAAAAAAAAAAAAAAGATAAATAGAGATATGGATAAAGAGGAATAACGAATCTACCTCAACGCCATACTTTATGGCAACACCAGCAAGAGTATCAAGCTTTGAGACCCGATGTTCAATAAAGCCAACACCAGGAGAATAAGAAGAAGGCAACGATTGCGACGATGGAGATGATGGTGAGGAGGAGGTGACCGGAAATAATTTGGCAGAAAAAGACATCGGGTTGGTTGCCTCTCTGTTATAGCCTTGGGCTCGATCTACCATCTTGCAATCGTCACCATAACCATTGCAGAATATATCGTAGCCGCAATCAAGATTCCCATTCGAGTCTTTTTCGGTCTGCATCGTTCCAAAAAACAGAATCTAATCCATATCCAATTGAATCGGAGTCTCTGACATCAATGCGTGAAATTGATTTAGAAATTTTAGAGAGATAAAAAAAAAAAAAAAAAAAAAGACAAATTGAAAGGAGAAGAAGGCGTAGATCTGCGATTGGGGTAATGGGTCTTGTTGGGTGTCAGCTTGGGTCGGTGATTTTCCAGCCAGTTTTTTCCGGGAAAATATATGGGAAGAGGAAGACGGTCAAGTAACCCAGCCAAGGGAGGACGCAAAATAATTAAAGAGGAAACATGAAACCACTAATTATAATTATATGGTTTTTAATATTTTTATTGTATATTAATTAATAAGTCATGTTAGAAATAAAAGTAAATTATGGAGAAGTCAGATTTTCAAAGTTAAAAGTAAGAGTAATAAAGTAAAATTTATATTTAATAATTATAATTAATGTCAGAGTAGGTTTGGCAGAAGTCCGAATTAAAACAGAAGGCTAACCCAGCACGACTCTCTTTAAACGTAAGATGCAGTCCAAAGGAGAACTAAGCCACTTCCAACCACCAGTCTCTGCGATCAGCCGCTGTCACGATATCAGCAACCTCCTCCCTACTGAATCTGCACTTTTTCGTCCTCCTTGTTGCGCCCCACTTCCAGCTTCCCCTCTCTCTCTCTCTCTCTCTCTCTCTCTCTATATTGCTGGTATATTATATACATATATATATATATATGCTGTGTTTTTTGTTGTTGTTAATTTAATCGTTTCCAAGATTCCTAGTGGGAATTAATTTTTGGGGCGGAGTGAGGTGAAGGTGGGTTTAGGGGAGGGGGAATTTAATTTAATTTTAAAAAAATTAGTATTCTCTGTAGTTCGTAGATAAAACTTTGTTCTTTTGTAGTCTAGAGGTGGGTGAAATTTGGAATGCCAAAATATATTTTTTAAGATTAACTTTATAAGTATTTCTGATTGGGTTAGCTGTGCAAGATTTAAGTTTTTAAAACATGAAGTATTTAGGTCCATTTACTATTAATTAATTAAAACACTTATTTGAGTACATTAAATATTAATTTTTTTTATTTAATCTTGTAAATCCATGCATACACTATATAAATATAAAAGTATAAGTATATGAATGATGTAAAACATAAAACCCAAACTATTTAGGATTTAAGTTACAAATATTTATAATTACACCATTTACCTTTTTTGTTTGGATGATGATAAAAATATGATTCATCAATATAGATTATGGTAGTAAAATGACAAAATTATGTTTGTTTGCGGATGGTATAGTTATATTAGAGTTTTTGATAGTATTTTAAGGTAATTTTTTAAAACTATCAATTTGGTATTTTTGAAGGATTAATATTTTTGTTCTATTTATACCCTTATTAAATTTTCATAATTCCCATTTTACCCTTGAAAAAACCATTCTCAGCAGCCTACTTTTTTTTCTTCTTCTCAATATGTTTCTTTTTATATATTTTTTTTAATTTATAATTATAAATTAAAAATTAAAGTTTTAAATTAATTTTTTATATTAACTATAAAAAATAAATTTTTATTCTTAATAACAAATTTATTTTTTGACCTTTTTTAAATTATAGTTTAAATAATTTTTCAAGTTAAATAATTTAATTATATTTTAAATAAGTATTTTTTTCCATTCAATATTATATACATTAAGATATGAACAATTTGATAATTTAATTTAATATACAACTAAATTAACCTATCAATTTAAACAAAACAGCTGTCATTACCATACATTAATATATTGTCTTTCTAAATATGTCATAATCTATCAATTATCATCCAATACATTTTAGGGTTCTTTAAGTTCTAAATCCAATATGTAATAATTTTCCTGAATAAATAATTTAGAACAAAAAACCGTCTTATTAAAAACTTGATATGAAAAACATATTTTCTTCCTAATGAGGTTATCTCTTTTAGCACTCAAGTTTTTAATAACCTTTCCAATCATTTTGATCATCTTAATTTGTTTTCATAATCAGTACTCTCAACTAATGCTAGAGAGTTATAAAGATCCATATATTACATCAATCATGCCATTATCTCCTAATCCTTATTTAATAAACTATGACTTACTTATGGCCTTTAAAAAGGTAAATTCTCTTGGACGTCTCATTCTATCTCTAATTTTATTTTACAGCCATTTGTATCCATCATATTGTGCATTTATCATATTCTATTCTTAAGTTTGTGATAAAAATATTGTCATATTGGTTTGAGTTAATTAATGGAAGAAGAGATGTTGGGTTGAAAGTAAATTATTCAACATATAATGGTTAGAGCATTAGAGACTTGAAAGTGCTATTTGTGGCTAAAAGATTTTTTTGATTCATATTGATCATGAATCCTTAAAGCGATTGAAGGAACAAGTTAAACTGAACCACAAGCATGCTAAATAGGTGGAGTTCATTTAAACCTTTTTATATGTCATTTAATATAAGTAAGGTAAGAAAAATGTATTGTCTCGTGCATTATCTCATAATTATGCTCTTATGACAACACTTAGTACAAAAACATTAGGATATGAATATATGAAAAATTTATATGTTAATGATTATGATTTTGGAAATGTGTATAAAGCATGTGGGATTAATAATTTTTATAAGTATGATGGCTTCATATTTTTTAAAAAATTATGCACGTCTAGTTATTCTTTCAGAGAAATGCTTGTGTGTGAATCTCATAATGAGGGTTTGATGAGTCATTTTGGTCTGAAA